TATATATATATTACAAACATGCAAACAAAAACACCCATTCAAACACACACACACACTCACGTAAGGTCAACTCCCAGACGCGCACACACACAATCACAATCATACAAACACACCCACAGAAACAGATACAAACACAGCCGCAGAAAAACTTACTCTCTCACGCGCACTCACTCACTCACGCGCATGCACCACTCGGGCTGTTGACGCTAACGAGGCATGACGGCCCGTGCATACACTCGTTGGACATATTGTACTATAAAACTAAATAGTCGTTAGTAGTTAGACTTTGATGAAAAGTGACACAGACCGGAGTCGAAAGAGAAAGCCTCTTAAATAAGATGTAGCGTACAAGCAGTGAGCTAAAAAAACAAAACAAAACAAGTCCATTGACATGATTGTAACCTGGGGCTAAACCATGTAGTGATGACAACAACAGCGAAGACAAAAACACGTTGCAGTAACGGCTACCACTGCAATTTCACGAGTAACAACAGCAGAAGCAATAACAGCAGCAACAACAACGACAACAACAACAACAACAGGAACGGGAACGTAGAGACTGGCAGAAAACCGGTCAAAAATGTTTTAGACCCTGACTGGACAAAACTTAATAAAGAAAACCAATTTAAAATAAAACAAAAACAAAACAAATCAACCCCCCCCCCCCAAAAAAAAAAAACACACAAAAACAAACAAAACAACCAACGAAAGAACAGGGCCTCCCTGCAATATCAATTTTAACATTATAGGAAACAACTGGTCAGGTTATGGCTATGTACCCCCGTGGACTTGTCTCTCGCCCGGCCTGTTTCCATACACTGAGTCCAAATTACGTTCTCCTCGCCTGAACGGTTGGTTGGCTCCGGGAATTAATGAGGACTCCGGTTTACCCCAGTTAGTCAGTCAGTTAGTTATATAGTCGTTGCTTCTACCAACTTACTCTCTTGCGACAGGTCCGTATTATGAGGGACGCAGGGTTTCAATTTTCGCGTTAGTTGTTATGTAGATATTATAACATACATGTATTGGAAGATAATATAATGCATGTTTGACTGACTTCCGAAACGCTACTAACGTTTAGTCATAACACCGTATTATCATGATTGAGTTGTGGGGGTGCAAATTGTGAAATATGCCTTGGGTTTGTTTTGTATGTTGTTGGTTGGGGGGGGGGGTCCTCTCCCTTTTCGCCCCTTCTTGTTGTGTGTGGGGGTGTCCCATCTTCACCTTTAGTTAGCACTTTCATCGCCTTTTTTGTTAGTGCACAGTTTACAGCTTTCCAACAAACTTTCTTCCTTTAGATTTTATTTTTCCATTGTACTCACTCTTTCTGTCTCATTATTTTTTAAAGAATTTCTCCAAGTTTTTTTCTCTGTTCTTCCCTTCCTTCTTTCTTTCTCTCTCTCTCTCTCTCTGTATTTCTATCTCTTCCTTCTCTCTCCCCGTCTCTCTATTCATGTTGTCCCTGCGCCTTCTGTCCTTCCCGCACTCGCCAGGAAGTGTGCAGATCTGTGCGGTTCTCTGTCTGGGTTAAGGCTGTCACTATAAATCTCAACGAAAACACCAGCCGGGACCATTTCTCTTCCCCCCCCTCTCTCTCTCTCTCTCTCTCTCTCTCTCTCTCTCTCTCCCTCTCCCTCTCACTCTCTCTCTCACTCACTCTCTCTCTCTCACTCTCTCATATGGCAACCTCTTAGCATCCCTGATCTCTCTTGACTTAGAGAGTCTGAGATGTGTTGTTATGGCATCCCGAAGAAGCTTAACTCATTCCTTCCAGCTTTCATCCGTTTATAGCTATAACTTCCTTTTCCCTCTACCAAACCACATTGCCCCTTTCTCAGTTACAGAAGACATCACATAACACTATTATACCAGTGTCGCGGTTATGATTTTTTTCGCGGGAAAAGGGACCGAATTTGGGGGTGTTTGAGGTGAAATACTCGCTATTGCAGCTGGGGACGGGCGGGTGCTGTCCTGGGCAAGACCAAAACGGTACATTGGCCACGTCTGGCCGTGTCGGTTCCGGGGCAGATCAGTGCCAGCAGCCGATGGCGAGCGCGTGGCGTGTGGCGTAGTGTCAGGGTCTCCGGCTGGTGATGGCCGCCACAGATGCTGCATGGGTGGGCTGGACACGTTTGGGCGATCTAGGCTCCTGCTTTATTTTGTTGTTGTTAATGTTGTTGCTGTTGTTGTTGGTGGTGGTGGTGGTGATGATGTTGTGTTGTTGGTGATTTTGTTGTTTGCCGCATCGCATTTGGACATTTGGATGCGTTTAACTCGATTTTCTGTTCTTCGCTTTCTGTCTATACCTCTTTCCAAATTCGTGGTTCTGTCTGCGCCTTGCCCCCACCCCCTTTTAATTTTAACTCTAATGTCAATTATCCACTTTTTATCTGCAAAAAGAAGCCAGCTGCGCACGCGCAGGCACACACACACACATACACATACACACACACACACATACACATACACACACACACACGCGCGCGCGCGCACACACGCACGCACGCACGCACGCGCGCGCACACACACACACACACACACACTGAAAACATAAAATACTATAACCAGGAACCCACAAAAAGCC